GGGGGGGGGGGGTGTTCAGCTGCAACATGACACCTCAACACACAATGTCAAACTTCTACACACTGAACCTTTAAGTTACTTCAGTTAGAGTTGATCTGAATTTATTTCTTAGTTTGATAAATTTGCCCAAATTATCTAAACACTGACATTTGATTTCTTTCAAAATGATCAGAAGAATTGATCAAGATACATTTTTCTAACTGAGCAGTTCAAGTGTCTGATTTTCAATCAGAGTATTTTCTAAATCTCAGCTTCACTGTTGATTTCAAGTTTTCACTCTGAAACAAATTGAAGCTTCAGACACTTTAGTTACTTTAAGTTGAAAAACTAACTGAAAAATAAAACTATTTACACGTGATCACATCAGAGGCTGAAAACAGTTGATCAACAACCTAAAGTTTAGAATCACATAAATGATCCACATCAGATTCATCTAGTTCTTTTTAAGCCTCGACCTCGTGTCACCATCAGAATGATTTGAATCCACTTTCTCTCTCGAACATCGGTCAGTAAACACAACAGTCTTGGATCTTTAGTCAAACATTTCCGTCTTTATTGTTTAACGCCTTCAGTCCGTCTACTTGTCCTCCGGCTTGTTGAAGCAGTAGGTGAGGCAGCACTTTCCGCAGTAGTGACGGTCGAAGTGACTCGCCATGAACACACCTGCTCCGCACTCGTCGGCCGGACACTCGCGCCTCAGACGGTGGATTTTACCGTTTTCGTCCACCTGAAAAAAAAAAAAACGTTCAGAGCTGAAGATTTAATCTGAGAACTCTGACGATAACTTGATCTCTTTACTTCAGACTGAAATCTTGTGAGCAAACAGTTTGTACCTTGTAGTACTTGAGCACAGCGAGCTTGACCTTCTTCCTCTTGTGCTTGTTCTTCTTGGGGGTGGTGTAGGACTTCTTCTTCCTCTTCTTGGCACCACCACGCAGCCTCAGCACCAAGTGAAGGGTGGACTCCTGCAATCACAGTTAACATCAGTTGTAAACTGAATCTGACTCGGTCGATGAACTGGTGGTTTGAGGAGTTGGCTCCGCCCTCAGCTCACCTTCTGGATGTTGTAGTCGGACAGCGTGCGTCCGTCCTCCAGCTGCTTTCCAGCGAAGATCAACCTCTGCTGATCAGGAGGGATTCCTGCCGGACGGACAAAACCACAAATCAACACCGACACTGGACCGACGCCTCGTCTGAACATCACAGCTGTGAAAACTACAACTCCCAGAATGCTCTCCACAGAAACAACTTTTCTCTAAGTTCATCTGATGGTTGGTCACAAGTCGACAGATGAATTTTCTTCAAGTTACATTTGTTCAAACAGTGAAAACCTGAAATCTCCAGTTATAGAAAAATGTTTCATAGAATCAATAAACAGAATGAATCAGTCGCAAGCTTTTAAATTTACTTTGTTAATAAAAACAGAAAATGTATTTAACACGAACAACTTCATGTCCTGAGAAGTTTTACTTCAAATCCTTCAACCTACAAGTTATTAAAAGACAGATGAAGTAAAGACAAACTGACGGTGCTTTACATCAGAACAGAAAATATCCAACATTTAACAGTGACACGAAACCTTCAAACCACCGATCATCACTCGGAGGATCAGTCATCGATCAGCTGCTCTGACTCCAACATTTAAAACGATCAGAGAATTAATCTTCAGTTCCAAACTCACCCTCTTTGTCCTGGATCTTAGCTTTAACATTTTCAATAGTATCTGACGGTTCAACCTGTGGGACACAGACACAAGAAGCTTCACTGAGACTCATGAAAACAAAGAGTTTAAGAGAGAGAACAGGAAATATGAATATATAGAAATATAACAGTGACTCTCAGTCTGACGTCACATGAGCGAGTTTAACTCGGATCAAACTCGTCACGTGATCAGTAGAAGACTCAGATCACATCACGTGAAGTTCAGATGAATTTAAAACGTGAATTTAAAATCAGTGACGTGATCAGACTCTGGGTCTCCACACGTGTTTACGGTTCTCCGCAGCTAGCTTAGCCACGTAGCTTCTCTCTCTCCCGCAGCTAACGACATTAGCATGTGAGCGGCAGCTTGAGCTCAGTCGAGTTTAAACTCTGACGCTTGAGCTCAAGTCTGAACTCTGACAACAAACTAACTTTGGACCGTTAGCGACATTAGCTCGATCTGTTTCCGGGGAGGTGAGGGCAGCGGCCGCGGCCTCCTCCTCCCCCCCGGCCCGGCTCACCCACCTCGAGGGTGATGGTCTTCCCCGTGAGGGTTTTGACGAAAATCTGCATCGTGGCGCCGGAGACCTGCGGGAGGACAGAGAGCAGAGGTTAGACTCCCTGCGGGGACTCGGACTTCAGGGAGACGGAGCGGGGTCGTGATATTTGTGGGTTCGACGCGGAGCTCGTTCTTACCGCAGCTGCTCGGCTAATGGCGGAGCATGAGAAGAGGTCCTCCTCAGCCAGACACGGGGTTTTCTGCCCGCGTCTGCACGGAGCAGGTGTCCCTCTCAGCGCCTGGTCGAAAAATCACTTTTTTTATCATATTTGATTTTGTTATCGAGTCTTTTGCGTTCGGATTAATTTTAATGTCACATTTTACAAATATTCAAAATGAATTAAATAAAAAACAAAGGAATCGCCTCGTCGCTGTGGTTTTCACGGTAACCATGGCAACGTTTAAAATAAAAAAAATGGCGTCCCAGGAAAAAGCGTCGACGATCAGAAGAAAAAATAAAAGAGAAGAAATGATGAAGAAGTTGGAGCCGAAGGACAAGAAAACTTCACAACTAAGAGTTTTAACTTTTCACTCGATTGTTCCAGACACAGAGGAAAGTTTGGTTCAAGAGGAGGAAAAGGAGGAGGAGGAGGAGGAGGAGGAGGAGGAGGAGGAGGAAGAGGAGCAGCGCTTCATCATCTGTCGCTCCGTCTTCAACAAGGTGATGTAATATATTATGATAA